CCCCCCCCCCCCCCCCCCCCCCCCGCCTCTGAGAGGCTCTGGAGTTGGCGGCGTTGTCAGTGTGACTGCATTACCCAGGGTGCTACGCTCCGGCCCGCTGGACGTCTGTGGGGGAAGTCTAACTGTCACTTCCTTGGCAGCAACGTTGGTTTGTGGAAATTAATCTGCGAGCTTGCAGTGTTTGTGTTTTGGAAATAAAAAAACAGTCTTTTTATCTGCCTGGATATAAGTGTGGTTCATATCTTCTCCCTATTAAGTCCAGCCACCTGCGTGGCGAATAGGACCCTCCGGGGAGACGCCGCAATATGTCCCCATTGTTACATTCCCCCGGGCTAAAACTGACCTCATCCACCTGCAAGAGCCTTAGGCCAAGTTTTTTTAAACTTCCTTTAACAATAGAGCACTTTGTTAAATGAACATGGCTGTAGGTTTATCTACAGGCTCAGGTGTTCTGCTCAAGCTTCTTCATTACAGCTGGGGGTGTATCTGTCAGGACTGTGGTGTGTGTGTGTGTGTGTGTGTGTTTTTTAACATGACTGGACAAGCTTATCCAGTTATGCACTCCTGATAGTGCATTTATCTTTCTGCCTTGTTTGTTGCTCGTAAATATCTGATTTAGCTTGACTTTCATGACTGATGACCTGATACAAACGGGGCTGTTTACGCACCGATTTAAAAAAGACGAATCTGGTCAATCGTCTGAATGCGCAGTAAAAAAAAAACCTGTAACATTTCACCCAAGGCCCAACATGTTTTAGATGGCTTCTGTGTTTGTGGCTCCCTTTGCTAGACGGCTCTTGCTCCTGATTGGTGCTCACAGGCTGGAGTCGGGGTGGCCGGTCTCACAGGTGTGGGGCGCTGCATGTCACCAGCCTGCTGAACAACCACCGGCGTGTGATTGGTGGAGGCAGCGGCCAGGGCCACGTCAATCATCCGGTGACAAACATCCATCTGGAATGCACATTTTGACCCTGTCTCAGCCTCTTAGTCAATAGCAAATATTTTAAACAGCCTGCAGAAGGGGAAAAAAAAAAAAAAAACCTTGCTGTCTTTGTAGCTTCAAGGAGCCAGGAGGCATTCCTGGTTGGAAGATTAGCTCTGTGTGTGTGTGTGTGTGTATGTGTGTGTATGCGGTCCAGGCACAAGCTCCTTTGCTGCTTTGAAGATCAAAGTGCCTGGGTTTCATGTCGTAGAGCATGCTCCATTTGAATTGATGGCTTCTCCGTAACCACCATGACAAGAGAGCAGCGCTAACTGCTAACTCAGCTGCTGCTGATGTTTGCCGTTAACAGGGAACATCCGCTCCCTTTGTTTTTACAAGTGAGCAAAAACGGGCCCGACGCTGCAGAGTAATAGCAAAAAGTGATTTTTATTAGACACTTCAATGCCATGTTAGACACTTCACTGTTTCAGCTTTGACGGTGGCACGACACATATTCAAACAGTTTGCTTCAATAAATTAAGTCTCCGAATGGGAGCCGCTGCTCACTGCGCCCCGGCCCTTTAACCCGCCGCACGGGGCTCGCTTTTCAACAGGCAGAGCCCACCTCTGACAGGCGCTACCAGGTGTAACTGGACTCTGGTGTCCTCAGCCTTACCTCGGCCAGGCCTCTGCTTACAGAGCTCAGCTCAGACCAGAGGAAACGCACGCACGCCATCCACAATGGAGCCGCTCTGAATGTGGCCCGCTCTCTACCTGTGGGCCTTTGGACAACCCTGCTTATGGGGTGCGATGCATTTCCGTGGAGCCTCCAAACCGCAACGGGACTGAACTGAGGCAGAATACTGGCCGTTGGCTTCCCAACGCACAACGCTGGATGCTGGTGCCCATTACAGCAGTACGACAGAATCTCCTGAACTCAAACAATATTTCATGTAGCCCATTTACTGGAAGGCCTCCAGAGCACAGGATTGCAGCTTCGACTGTGAATGTGGCCAAGAACGCCGCGTTGAGATAATGGGCTCATACTGCATTTAAACAACAGCTGCTGCTGGCCGCACACTAGCTCCAATTTTCACTTTTAAGATCCTGACTTTCATTCAAAAAAAGAGAAGCTTTTAGCCCAAGCTGGTCAGAGGGGGCATTGCTGTACCGTGTGGCAATGTCAAAGGGTGGAGAAGTGGGGGGGGGGGGAAGCGTGTACAGTTTGACGCCGCTGGTGTCAAAAGTATGTGGAATGTCTCCTCGCACAGAGAAGGTTCCTGCATTCCTGCCGGCAGACGATGTGCACAATCTGCCTCTTTATGAAGTGAGTATAAAAAAGTGCTTTAGCTTGACTGCCTGCAAACGTAACCCTTCGCACCATTTGACACACCAGAGAAACTCGGATCAAAGATCAACCTTCATACAACAACAGCGCATGAGAGGGATGTCTCTGTAAAGCCATAGCTGGTGCCATTTCTCTAAACCCAACCCCCGCCTGAAAAAAAATAACACATTCAAGTGCAATCGAGTGTTTTGTTTGCTGTAAAAAAACAAAAAGTGTACCAGTATCTCTCTCGTAAAATGTCTCTTAATATGTCATCACCAGTTGTCTTTGATCATGCAATAAGGCACTGCAGCTGAAAGTTGGTAAAAGCTGAAAAACGCTGTCTTTTGTCCCCTAAGAAAAATAAAAATATCACTCCTTTCTTTGCCATGCACATATATTCAAACACTCTTTTGTAAAAGTTATATAATATATAAGAAAACTCTTATGTACAGTCAAAAGTCTCATGGTATATTTCTCTCGCAGCCCCCCCCCCCCCCCTCCACATACTTACACTGTACAAGATTCCCTACATTTACATGCTTCAAATGTAAGTCACATTTTTTGGAGCTAGACTTTTTTTCTTTTCCTCATTGGTCACCTCCCAAAGGAAGGTTTTTAAAAATATTTACAGCTGATACGCTCAGATGGGACGCCACCCACACAAGCTCCACCTTCAGACTCCGGATGCTCTCCGTGCCCCGGGCCCCCCCGCCAGTCCAGAACCAGGAGGCCCGGGCCTGTTCCCCTCCGTATGAGGTAGCAGTTTATTTCCCAGTGCAAAGAACACGAACCTAAACTAAACAAACAAAAAAAAAAAAACAAGTCCACAGTTTGGGGCGAGCTGGGCGGCTGCTAGTCGCTGGCTCTCCTCAGAGGGGCGCTCTCACTCTGAGCGGCTCTGAGGGTGTGTCCGTTGGGCAGCAGAGTCTGCCGGAGCTCAGGCTCACAGTCACTGTCCACACATCGGCCGCCCGGCCCGCCGGACAGCTTCACCGGCTTGTGGAAGGAGTCTTCCTGCGATGGGGCGCCCGCCAGCGTCCGTCCCCCTCTGCCCGCCGCTGGACAGAGAAAAGAAGGGGTTAGGGTGAGAACGGGCCCGGGTCGGCCACCCGACGCGCCCGGCCTGAGGAAACCCAGGAGCAGCTCTGACACGTGCAGGTGGCTGAGGAGTGCTGTTCTGCTGATGTGGCCTGCTTCTACAGGAGCTCAGGCCCGGCAGGCCTGGACCTGCCTCTGAGTTCTGCAGCGGTTTGGGGCCTCTCCGGGTTTTACACACATACCCTCAGAGGCCCGGGGCTTTGAACAATGATACTCTGACAGACGTACGCAGAACATAATCGATCAGCAATCACGTCCAGGAGAATTTTTCCTGACAGGAACTTGTCTAGTTTCTCATGGTATCGCCTGACACCAGTGATATTCCTTTAGGGGAGCGAGGCGTGAGGAAGTGAGCTGAGTTTGAGGGGAAAGTGTGCAGGAGTCTGCTCTGGAGATGAGAACAGATGCAAAAAAGCAGCGTACCTGTTGTGTGCTCCCGGCTGGCCGGTATCGTGTTGTGATTTTTGGGAAGCGTGGATCCTTGAGTGTCCTTCCGGAGCCCGCAGGGAGTCCCGTTGGAGAGGGGGGGGGCGTCCCCCGGGTAACAGCGGGAGTAGGGCGGGGGCACGCACTGCTGCTGGTACTCGGCGCCCGGGGGGGGCCCGAACCCGTGGCTCAGGTAGTCGGGGTCTTTGGAGTAACTGCTGGAGGTCTCCATGCAGTCCGTGCACACCACCGCTCCGCTGAAGCCTGCGCACGGACAGAGTGGACACGTGTGAGCAGGAGGCCCCCCGTCTGAGCGTTTCCACGGCGATGGGCCTGCTCTGGTACCTGTGGGGTCCAGGTGACCGTTGGGCTGAGGACTGCCGCCCGCCTCCACGCGGATGCACACGTCCTGCCGCTCGGACAGGGTGCCCTGGGAGGAGAGGTAGCTGGGCACGTCCAGCGGGACGATGGTCTCATCTGAGGGGTCAGAGTGGACAGCGTTCAGGCGCGGGTCTTTCTAACGCCCGGCTTCTGGACGGGGGGCGGGGGTGGGCTCACCTGTGTTGGTCACGCTGCACTCCTCGCTCTTCTTCCTGGTCTGGTAGATGATGCACACCCACACCAGCGACGTCACCACGATGCTGGTCACCACGGTGATGACGATGACGCCCACGGCGACGGCGCTGAGGCCGGCCGGCGCGTCGCAGGGGCTGTTGCCGCGGCGCTCGGCCGCCTCCAGCACCTGCAGCTGGCTGTGGGCGCGCTGCGTGCCCAGCGTGTTGGACATGACGCAGGTGTAGCGGCCGGCGTCCTCCGCCGCCGCCGCGCTGATGACCAGCAGCTGGTTGCCCGGGGTGAAGTGCAGCCGGTCAGAGGGGCGCAGCGGCTGGTCGTCGCGCAGCCAGGTGATGCGGGGGGGCGGGCTGCCCAGGGCCTTGCACTGCAGCGCCACCATGTCGCCCAGGGCAACGCTGCGGTCCTTCAGGGCCTGCACCAGGTAGGGCGTTTCTGCGGAGACGGCCGGCGTTGGGCGGGGTTAGTCCGGGCAGCACAGCGGAGGAGTTCTGACCCCCGGCTCTGAGGTTTCTGCTCTAGCTGCGTTTGCTCACCCGATCTATCACAGACTGTCGTCAACCCCCGTTTGGAGTTTGACGGAAAAAACTAAACACACCCTCAAAGCTTATCTGACGATGACAGTCTCATTTAGCCGTGTTTTGTGTCCATCTCAGCTCATATCTGTGACGCTGATAAGGTCTGACATCACTTAACTTTTTATCGCAACATACTAACAAGACTTCTCTGGGGGCGGAATCCCCCTGGAACAATGTTTTCAGTGTTTCCCTGAGAACCTCTGCATTCTGTTGAATGGGGCACGCTGAACTGAATGTGTGTGTGTGTGTGTGTGTGTGTGTGTGTGTGTGTGTGTGTGTGTGTGTGTGTGTGAGGGCTGGCCTCTCAGACTGAGCACTTCCCCTCACAGTGGGACATACACAGATTAAGAGATCTCACTTAACCCACTTCAGTCGCCCTTCTCTCTTCTATCAATCCTTTCTCCCTCTCCATCAATCCCGCCCCCTCAACTCCTCTTCTCTAACCCCCCCCACCAGCCCACCCCACCCACCCCTTCACTGCCCCATTCCAGTTCTTCTTTGGCTCCCATTTTTCTCCCCCGACCTCTCTTTTCCAGACAGGGGCCCCTTAGCTGCAGCCATGCCGCCCGCCTCCCCCCCCCCTCCTCAAACCCAAACATCACAGATTCAGCACGCAGCCATGATTGCGTGCTCCAATATATTACATTGCTGAGTGGATTAGCGCCCCGCCTGAGCTGCAGGGAAGTCCCACAGCAAGCAGACGTGTCACTAGCCCAAACCCACCAGAGAAAACTGTAGCCTCAGAATCCCTGACGGGCTTCTTTTTTCCTTTCTTTTTTTAAAGTTCCGTCCAACAAGGGGTTCCTTTTTGTCATTTAAACACAATGGACAAAGCTGATCTATGTTACAGGAGAGAGGCTCTGTTTGGTTTGATTGAACAGTGTAAAACAGCCAATAAACTGGGAGCACTGAGGCCTGCAGTGAAGCAGCCATGACTGTCCCTCCCACAGAGAGAGGGGAAGGGGGTGGGAATGCCTAACAAACACCCCTCTGTGAGCCCCCCTACCCCCCCCGCTCTCCCCCACCCCTGTGACCCCTAACTGTGACCTCCGGCCCCTGACCTGCAGTATGGCCACAGCTGCCGAGAAAAGAAAAATATAAAGCTTCTCATTCTGCGGCCCCAGGCCCACCAATTCCCAGCTGAGTCCCGGCTATTTAAAAGAGTTTGGGGTTGAGGTTTTTTTATTTTTATTTAAATTTTTTTTTTTTTTTTAAGCATTGGGAATATTTTTCACGTTGATCTGCTCTGAACCGCACACGCGGGAGCGAAGGACAGAGGGCGGCTCTTACCCAGCACGGTGAGGGTGGCGTTGGCGGAGACGGCGCCCGCCGTGTTCTTGGCTGTGCAGCTGTACACGCCCATGTCCTCGGGCTTGACGGCCGTGATAAAGAACACGTCGTCGTCTGGCATGACGTGCATCCTGCGCTCGCGGGCCGCCGGGAAGTCGGTGCCGCCGTCCTTCTGCCAGGCGATCTGCGGCGCCGGGTGGCCCTCGGCGGCGCACTCCAGCCGGGCGGTGTGGCCCGTCCGGATGGTGCTGTCCCTCGGAGTCTTCACAAAGGACGGCAGCACTGTGGGCCAAGAGCACAAAGCAACAATCACCTTCATGTGTGCTCATTCCTTTCAGAAATGCCCTCGTTTTCAACGCAGTACACACTGCTTTTTATTTTTTTGCCAGAGAAACTAAACAGCCGTTGTGTGGGATTACACAGCCGCTTATTCACTTCTTCCAAACACATTTTCCCAGCTGCTTTTGGCATTCAGCCCCCGAGAACAACCGGCAAGAGGTCCACAGCTCAAATTCCTATAGGAAACCTCCCCCCCCATCAACGTTTGTGTGCCAAGACAAAAGAAAAACACAATATTCTGTCGGAGGACGTTCAGGAATATGCAGCTCAGGCGCAGACTTCAGCAAGGAATCAAACAGCCGAAAAAAACTTAACGAAAAGCAGATCGACGGAGAGAGAGAGAGAGAGGGAGAGAGAGAGAGAGAGGGAGGGAGAGAGAGAGAGATGACCCCTGAACCGACTGATGTGCTGCCAAATCAATTAGTTCCAAATACCACCCTATGATGGATGAAGGCTGAGAAGGAGACAAAACCTGCTGAAGAGCTGCAGCCTCTGGCTGAAACGCATCCCGGCCAGGAACACTCGGATAAACAAGCGCTCCACAGAGGTGTGTGTGTGTGTGTGTGTTTGTGTGTGTGAGAGTCTGTTCAGGGCCGAACCCAGCGACCTACCGTTAACGACGAGGTGCGCTTTCTTGGAGTAGGTGGCGCCGAAGTGGTTGGAGATGATGCACTGGTAGCGGCCCTCGTGGGCGAAGGTGACGCGGCGCAGGTGCAGGATGGTGGTGTACTCCGTCACGCCTCCGCCCGCCGGCCCCGCCCCGGGCGTGGCCGGGTGCAGCTGGGCGTGGTTCTCGATCTCGGCGTGCTGAAGCAGCTCCTGGTCCTTGCGCCAGGCAAAGGTCATGGGGGAGGAGCTGCTGCTGGCCGCCGTGCAGGTGAGCCGCACGTCGCTGCCCAGCACCGTCACCGTGGTTTCCGGCTCCACGGTGATCTGGGGCTTGGGGAGGTCGTCTGCCAGAAGAATATGCAAATTGAGTTTCTAAAGCTAAATTCTTTTGGGAAGCCAAATGTTTTTGTTTTGGGGTTTTTTGCCGGTAGCTCACCACAAACGAAGGTGTTGGGCGGAGCCTGGAAGACGCTGGCGCCCTGCAGGCTCAGCGGGTGGGCGCAGCTGGCGTTGACCCCGGCCTGCAGCCCGCGCGTCACCAGCCAGCCGGGCAGCCACTGGAGCTGGCAGTCGCACAGGAAGCTGCTGCTCTGGATGACACTGTGAGACAAGGGAGCGGACACCCGGTCACTCCTACGGCTTCTGGAGGCGCGAGTGTGTGTATGCGTGTTCTGCAGGCTGCTCCTCCTGTCATGGGGAGGTTGTGTGACTCACAGGCTTTTGAGGTTCTTCATCTTACTGAACGCGTCGGGCTGGATGGAGCGAATGGCGTTCTCCCCCAGGTTCCTGTTGGCACATTCAGACCGTTTCATTACAGCTGCAGCTACACACCAAGAATCTGACTGTCAGCCATGATGGAAATATCCAGGTCTGTATGTTCAGGGATACGCGCCAGCTTTTCTGTCACTCCCTGCCCTCGTCTGACAAAGGCCTGTAAAAGAGCTTAGAGGAATTCCATTTCTTCAGCAGAGCTCGCCATATGCTCAATAACTTAGCTCCTACACACAGGCAGGAGGGGAAAAAAAGAAAAAAAAGAAGAGGCCAGGGCTGAGATTGTGCTAGCCTAACAAGAGAGAAGCAGCTGGGCACTTGCAAAAGCCCGTCTTCTCCTTTTACAAAGACGCTATTAAATTGCTAGCAACCTACACTCTGCCAGCTCCTTTTGGCAATCTCCCCTTCCCACTTCCACCCCAGCCCTCCCCCTTTACACCCAGCTCTCATCTTGTGGGATACTCACAGGTGTTCCAGGGTCTCCAGGCCAGAGAAGGCTTTCTTGGCCACCGATTTGATCTTGTTTCCAAACAGAGTCCTGCCGTTCCAGAACATGAAGGGCGCCGATTGATGAAGGGAAAGAGAGAGGAAGAAGGGGTGAGAAAAGAGAGCAAGGCGGGGAGAGAAGCACAATTAGCCCAGCTGAATCTGATAAGAGTGAGGGGATTGAAGTATTGGAAATCTGAACTGTGTGGAGATTAGTCAGAAATGGAGGGGGGGTGGCACCTGGGCCCTTTGCTGTTTATCTTTATTAGACATTAATACCAAAGACAACGAATGGCTGTGTGTGTGTATTTATATACACACACGAGTGCATATTCCTGATTGTGTGTGTTGTTATGCTGCTAGTTGGTGCAAACATGCTATCATTTTGACCTGTCGGGTCAAGAAGTGAGATGTTGTTTCCCTCCGATTTGGGGTTCTAATCCTTTGCCCACCCTCTCTCTGCTGTAGCCCCCTCCCCCGTCGTATTCCTGACTTCACAGGAAGAGGAGATATGGCTGGCTTGCTCACAATGAGGATCCCCGCGTTAAAACTCACCCACACCGACAAATTGTCCTGTCAAAAGGGATGAGGAGTCTGCTATCGTGCAACTCCCATTTTAAAAAGGAACCCGATTCAGTGACCGGAACCGGTTTAACAGAGTAAAAAAAAAAACAGGCCTAATCCAACAAGGCAACACGGACCAGTTTAAGGGAACCCAGTGTGTGTGGAAGACACTTTGATGTTCTCTTCTTTCTCTGTTCTCCTTTTTTTTTTTCTTTCCCATGGCTGGCTTTGCTGACTTTAGGATGCAGGAGGCTGCTTCCGCCAAACACCATGGCAAAGGGGGCAGGGTCAGAGGGCGGGGCATGTGAGCCGTTTGATGTTTGATGACTGAATACGGCCCCCAATTTCACCCTCTCTCAACTCCTAACAACAGAGAGTGGGAATGAGGGGACGGGAGGAGCAGAGGCATGGAAGAGAAATAGAAATAAGCCTATTGGGTAGGGAACCCCTGCCAGTTTGAAGAAAAGCCCTTTCTCTCTCTCTCTTTCGCAGCCTCTTTCTTTCAGTGCTGCTCACACTGGGAACCATCTTGGCTGGACATCATCTTTTCATCCTGCAGGTTGATGACTGCGCATGTTGCCAGAAACCTCACGCTTGTTGCAATTTTCTCTGCAACTTTTGACATTGAACTTTTTTTTTTCTTTTTCACTGGCAGTATCAGCCATTGGAACCCAGGCTGCTCATAAAACTTCAGGAAAACAATAAAATCCCAAGATGAAAGCCAGATTCAAATGGAGGGAGAGAGAGAGAGAAATAGAGAGAGAGGAAAAATTATCTGCAATGTTTTATGAGCAAGTTTAGTGAAAAAAGAAGAAGATGGGCGCTATAACTCACTGAGCATTTCCTGTTCAAAGTTAGTGTGTGTTCCTGAGGGGGCAGGTGTCCTGAGCCTATGAACTTTATAGCCTAAAACGCTGAGCTGGTAATGAAGGGGAAATCTGGGCTTAGATGGAAACTTTTGTGAACAAGAATGACCTGAAAGCTCAATTTTCCCCCCTCAGATTCTGAGGACAAGTGGAGCGAACCCCAAAAACGAGTGCTATGATTTGACAGAGAGATTAAAAAAAAGGAGGGCTTGAGAAAGACAGAAGGAGGGTACAGAAAAATAAGAAAGAGGGGAGACACTCACAGCTTGGAGAGCCGGTCCAATCCAGAGAAGGCCCCGTTGGTGTCCTCTATTGTGCCTGAGATGTCGTTGTGGTCCAGCTCCCTGTGGAGATGGAAAGAAAAGAGGGGGATAAGAAAGATGGACGGTGGGAGGAGACCGAGGCAAGCAGGCTCTGCCACTGCTGCAGAGTTTTACATCCCTGGCAGAGGCTTCTCTGGTAGTCACAGGTTAGTTTTCTGCCCCCCCATTTGCACCTGCCCCCAAGATGTGCTTTAGAGCTCTGCTCCGCGGGCCAAGCACATTCTGTCCTCAAAAGGTTGGTGAGATGTGTGTGCATTAGTGTTAGTGTGTTGATGCGAGCCCCAGAGTAGGGACACATGTATAATTCATGATGGCATGGAGGGAGCAAAGAGCGCACAATGCCTAGCGAGAGGCCAGACAGTTGGGAGCGATGGTGGCAGGTATGGTACATCCATCCAGCCTTAATAGGGTTAGGGAAAGCCAAGCAGAGCATCAAATAGCATCAAATAATTACGGGAAAAAGATTAAAGGGAGTTCTTTTACAGTGCATTAGGGGTTTCTAAACCCTTCTTGAATGCATCTGCATCCCTCTGGAGGTGAAAAGAGCTTCCTCTGGGATGAGGTCATACCGCTCCTCCATTCTGCAAGGCCATCAGAATGAGTCGGAGAGCTCCTCTGAACCATTAAAACTTTCCTCCAAACTTGACAAAAGCCTTTGAGGCTGATGGTCAGCTACACCCTCCAATGCCTCCACTCCTCCCCATTGCTTTCCAAGCATCTTTTATCCTAGTTTGGGTCTTTTCAGTCTCCACTGGCTGCTGTCTAGATGGGACTCAACTGGGGCTGCCAATTTCCTACTCTTTCTGGCTGGCTGGATGTGAATGGCCATTGCCTTGTTAAATCAAGGTTGGGGGTGGGGGCTGCGGAGCTGAGAGCGCGGGCACGGTGAAGGGGGCCCCGATGAGCCAACGACCCCCGTGGCCGAATTAGAGGGGCAGGCTGGCTTGTTTGGAGCTTTCACACCCTGATGCAGGCTCCAGCCCCATGCCAGCACAACCAGCAGCGCAGACCCAATTAAAGCTCCCCCAGCTCTTTTTCAAGGCCCTGCCGATGCCTCTCCACCCCTCCACTGATTAGATTAGGCCTGCCTCAAAGACAGAGAGCAGGAGCAATGAAGGAAAAGGAGAATAAATCATGCAAAAATCGGGACATAAATCATGTGTGTATTGTGGGGAGGACAAGCAAAGATGACTGAAAAGACTGTGCATAACAAGGCAGAAGTAGTGAGCCTGCGAAGAGAAACCAAACAAGGAGCAATTAGGACTAGAGAGAAAAACAGGATTCAAAGCTCCCCATCCCATTTTCTATAATTTGTGGACGAGCAGCCTGTGTGCTGGCCGAGAGAGAGGGGCCCAGTGGGCTGGGGCTCATCAAGCTGTTGGGAGACAGAACTGGCAAGCTCTGACACAACTCTCCTTTTTCACAAAGCAAAGCCAAGAGAACCTTGGTCAAGGACCAAGGACCAATCTTTCTGTTAGATTTATCCACAGAGTCTATCTTTCTGGTTCCTTCTTTTTTCTTTCTTTGGGGGTTTTTTGTAACAAAAAAAAAAGGTTGATCAGAGGTATAAAAAAAGAAAGTGAAAAAGAAAAAGAAAAAAAGCTCTCTCTTTATTCCATGGCTTCTAAAAGTGGGGGAAGGATATCAATGGAGCCGAGCGAGACGGAAGACTTTTAGGTCCAAGTTTGTCTGAACACTGACAGAACAAAAAAGGAAAAGTGAACAGAAAAAGGTAACCAGTGACAACAGACACCTTGTGAAAGTTGAATAAAGGAGAAAAAAGAAGAGGCATGAATATACATGAATGCTAATAAGATGTTAAAAAGAGTAAACAACCCCTGCTTTGTGAGGCTTACTGAATGGGCTCCATAAGCCTAAATATCAAATATCACAGAGGCAAACCAATATTAAACAGCTCGGCTTTCACTGCTCCCAAAAGGCACATCTAAGCTTATCATCAGCAGGGGCAGCGACTTAATAAGCAGCTTGTTGGTTGAGGGAGCAGGGGGGGGGGGCGTTAAGGGCTCGGCGGTGGTAGTTGGGGGTGGTGTACTTACAGGACGCGTACGGCCTTGAGGCCCCTAAAGGCTCCCTCGTTGATGTGGCTGATAGAGTTGTGGCCCAGCCGGAGGGTGTGGAGGTCCCCCAGCACAGCCAGGCTCCCCTCATCCAGACGGGTCAAGTTGTTGTAGGACAGATTCCTGGAGAAAGAGGCACAGGCGGTAAGGCGGATGGAAAAGAGCAGAGGCAGACGTAGAGAAAGAGAAGGCGAGGAGGAAAAAAAAAAAGAAAAAGAAAAAAGGTTCTGTGTGAGGTCTGGAAGGAGATGACAGCTTGGCAGAGCGCTGAGGCAGCTCACGACATCATTAGACTCAAAATTTCATGGATGATTCAAAATCTATTTGCAACTCTGTGATGTCGTTTTCCATCGAAAATGGGTTTAGCAGACATATAAGCACGACTCATTTGACAGGGAGGGAAAAATTCCTGGTCAGAGCTCTGCTCGACACAAACTTCCCTGAGTAACCGGGTAAACCTTAAAGGGAGCCCCTCAAGGGCACAGCACGGACGCGATTAATCTGCACCCACATGCGGGTAAAACACGGCCGGGCCTTCCGAGTTGGAGCCATGGGAAATAGACGTCCAGCGATGGGGAAAACAAGCTGAAAAACCGGCTGCCTGATAAAGCCTGATCTCGGGCGATAATAAATCCATTAATAGCGTCGTTCGGCCAGCGTTTCAAAGGCAGTATTGTGCATTTTATGGCCCTCTCCCTGGCCCTTCTCTGTGGCCAAGCCGCAGGTTTGCTTGACCGGTCATGTGTGCAGAGATTCTCCCTGATGAGCGGCTCAGCACGGCACACTGGGAATGCAATAACAGGCTCCTCATAAAGGCCAGCCGCTCACTTCTATCGGCTGTGTGGGTCGTCGTAGCTCTGGATAATAAAATCATATAACCGGTGACCGGAGGCTGATTCGAGAACGGCTCGGGGAGCAATCTGTCATTCATAGGATGCGCACACAGGAAAGGGCGCACAGATACACAGGGCAAAGTAGCAGGAGCTCCATCTCCCTTCCTTATCCCACACACACAAAGAAGCACAGGCGCCACACAGAGCCCGGGCTACCTCGTAGTTAGCAAACGCCTCAGCTGAGCAGAGCACTTTAAAGCAGCATTACGACACTCGTGTCAACAGTACAGGAGAAACTGTCAGATAATAACCCGCTAGACAAAGGCAGCGAAGGTGATCCTTGAGTGTAATTCCCACAACACAAACAAGGGGGGATTACAAGCCAGTTTGCCAAACCCCTGCGCTTTAGAGCAGAGTACAAAAACTCTTGTCGAAGAGCTTGTGTGCTTTTGAGCCCAGCTCTAATTATGGGATAAACAGGCTTATCCCGAGAAGAGCTCAGCGTATTGAGTGTTAAAAGCAGAATGTCATGTATCCCCTGCAGGTAACAGCAAAGACCTGGGAAGATATGCGGCTGGAAGCTGCCTACGACAGTCCCCATCCTGATGTTTAGCAACTTTTTATTTACTTTTAGCTTTTCTTTTTTCAGAATCTGGCACAAGAGGAGGTGTGTTGGGGCTCATTTAAATGCTGGTACGTACAGTTCTCTCAGCTTCTGGCAGAACTTCCATCCGTCAGGGTTGATGCTGGCTATGGAGTTGTTACTCAGAAATAGTTGCGTAAGAGAGGTCAGGCCATACAGCGAGCCACTGTTCACCTCAGTCAGGTTGTTGTACTCCAGGTGGCTGCGGGAGAAAACTCAATTAGCAACAACAACAAAAGCATTGCAGTGACACATTATTCCTCAGGAGTTTCTGGGAAGTGGTTGTCGGGGTGGTAACCCTCCGAAAGTGTTACATTTTACATACCTGAAAGGCTGCAAATTGCAATAATTACTGGCTAGTTTTGCGTAAATTGAAGCAATTATGCACATCTGATGTGGGAAAAGTGGGATTTTTGTGATTGTCTCAATTCCAGTAACGGCAACAAAAAAAAATGGTCAGTAACTAGTGTGAATACATGTGCTTTCTCTATCAAAATGACATTCCACATCACTCATTCATTTACTTACAGCACTTTCATTCTGGAGAGGTCCCAGAAAGCTCCGTCGGTCAGCTTGCTGATGCTGTTCCTCTGCAGCTTGAGCACCTCCAGGCTGGACAAACCCTGGAAGGTCAGGCCTTCAATCTGACGGATACGGTTCCTGTTCAGTTCGCTGTAGAATGGACGGACAAACAAAACCTCTTTGAGAAGCGATTCAGCAACCTTTTTGTCTGCTGCCCCTATTCCACGTGAGCAACATTCCTTTGTGGTGTGTATTTGGGGTTTATGCCGTGATTCTCAAACTAAGGATGAGCAGAGAATGTGGTTGGAGATGCTGAAAAGCTACGCTCAGTCTGTCTTTGAATGTCACAATGAATTTGTGTAGCTGCTGTGTGTGTTTGTGAAGGCTGTAAAAGCCCCCAGGTTGGCAAAGGTTAACATCCACAGAGGTTCTTTTGTGTCTCATGCGCATCAACCACTGGCTGTAGATACAGTGTCACTGGGGCCACCTGTTCAACAAAAGCCACCTGGGGAACCTGCAGGAGCCACAATGGAAGGGGGGGGACTTCCATTACACGAGTAGCTTTGCTCTTGAAAATGGAGGTGTTGAGCTACAATATGGGTCGAGCCTCAGCGTTGTGCTGGAGGGAAGTTTGACCAAGATAATGGAGCGCGGTGCTGAGATTGAACTAACCACTTTCGGGGATGCGGAGGGAGGCAATAAATCACCAATAATAGAGTGTTATAGTGTAATAGTGTTTACCTTGTGAGACCTTATCCTCCCCTGGAGGTCTAGCTCAAACTAACAGCGTTCCAAATGTTAAACACACAGAGCTCGATCAGCAGAGAATAGGAACTCCTCCTCATCTAGACTTGGAATCTCTCTCAATGTAGACCAGGAAACCCTTTCATTCATATGCGTTTGCGTCCGACCCGACAGACCCAAACACCACTCTAGGGCACACCGGCTCTGCTGCTGAGCTGATAGGGGAGCAGGGGCACTCACAGCTGGGTGAGCCTCGGGAGCTGGAAGGCCCGCACGGGGATCTGGCTGATGCGGTTCCGGCTCAGCCTCAGAACCTGCAGCGTGGAGCCCAGATGGTCCAGCACGCCCAGCTCCAAGGAGCTGATCTTGTTGTTGCTCAGGTACCTGAAAAGCCAGATAACACAGGATTTAAAAAACAAACCAAATAAGTGTGCGTGTGTGTGTGATGAAGTGGGTCTCCTTAGTTACGCACAGGTCTCGGATTTGAAGGCCGGCGGTGAAGCAGTGCCCTTTAAGCTCAGTGATGTCATTATTGCTCAGGTCCAGGGTTTCCACAGACAGCAGCTCTCTGGTCCGCCTGCCATCAATGCTGCGGATCTTGTTATGATGTCTGAAAAATAAAGGCCGCACGTGACGGACATTAGATGTAATCGGCAGCGACATCGCTCAACATTTGCACTCTGATCCCATCAACCCCCCCCCCGGGTTCTTTAAGCCTACTCAGGCACAGAGAGAAGAGTACACAGAGCAAAGTGGCCTCCATCCACAAAACACATCTTTTAATGGCTCCCAAACAGAAGCTGGCCTTCTTCAAACAATCCCAAGGATCAAGAGACAGAATGTGTTCGACTGATGGAGCCACTTAAAGCGAAAAATCAATGTGTGATGGAATGAACTGATGGCTGTGTCTTTCTGAATGAGTTCTGACCGCTATAAATGCCTGTGGAACATTAAGCTGTGAATCCACAACTGGCAAGATGACAAGAAAAGGGAAACTCCAATCATCCTGAAGAGATGCAGCTCTTAAGAAACAATCCCTGGCTCCTGACACGCCTGCTCGGGGAAAAGGAAACACACAGTTTTCCAAGCTGGGCTGACGAGGACTTTACAAATAGGGGGGTTTCCACACGAGGAGAGGTTCTCTCAGTTATGCTTTGTCAGGCTGAGCTGGTCGAGCCAGAAGTCTGATAGAGAAGAAGGGCAGACTTCAGCGTTGGAAGGATGGCAGCTCGCGTACAGCTCCACCCCGTCTCGCTCCGCGACATCTGTGCTGGAATGGCATCGTGGGGGAACACGTTTCCAGGCGTGTCAATTCAGTGTGGAGGAGAAGTGGATTGTGGGACACGGTGCTTGACAGCCATCTCTCTCTCACCAGCAGCCAGTGTGTGTGAGTGTGTGTTAGACAGGGCCTGTGTTACCCGAGTGCACATGAAAGCCTTAGCTGGGTGACACATGGGACACATGACTGGGTGCTAACTAGGGATGGGGAATCTCATTTAGTATCGCTTTCAAGTGCCAGATGGGACCAAAAATAAATAAAAGAAAAATAGTTCAGGAAAGTTCGATAGTTTTATATTCGGTCTCAAATCCTAAACCATGAATGGTGTGTGTATGTCTGCGTGTTGGACAGAAAGAGCAAAAGAGAGCAGGTGTTCCCACCAGTCAAACTCATGAAAACAAGGTCAGTGCCTATTTCCTCTCTAGCTTTCAGCCAACTGATGAGCACAGCCACACTCACACAAAGACACACACACACACACACTTCTCGGTGCCTGAGAAGAGGAGGAGGGTCACACCGCAGTGGCCCACCTGAATAAACAGTGGCAGAAATGGTTAAGGATGAGCGCACATGCGCAAACACAAACACACAATACAAATAACAAACGCACACATGGGACAGAGCAACAGACGGTGGCTACAGTGAGCAAGAGAAGCCGAGGAGGAGGAGGAGAAGGAGAAAAGGAGGAAAGAGAGGGGGGGGTGATGTGGGTTCAACAGCTGGTGACCTTTGCTGGGAAAAACAGATCAGTCTCAAACTGCTGGGAGAGGTTGTCCTCTCCAACTCTTTCTCCACATTAACCACACTGCCCCCCCCGCCACCCCCATTGCCCGGTCCCAGCTGCATGTAAAGAGACAGATAAAGCCTTGACCAGTTTGGAGTCCACACACAGACAACAGCAGCGTTTATGAAAAGTGATTATCATACAGCCAAGTGAGGTTATGATAAAGAGGAGCTTGGTTCCCTCTTGTTCTCTTTGATGTCTGGGGGTCTTTTTTGCCGTGATTCCACTTAATTCCAAATCTCCTTCCCCCGCCCCGTTGACCATCTGATTATCAGGAGCCCGGCTCATTTTGACACGTCTTTTGATGTATGGGGAGTGTGTCGGGGGTTTACACTAGCGGGCCCACTCCTCTGCTTCCAGTGTCATCTCTCAGGTCAATTGTTCGGCCTGTCTCTGTCCGTTTGAAGCCGGCAGTCGGGACAAAAGGAGAATTATTCCAAAATCAGATCATTCAGTGGGCCATATGATTTTTATCTCTGAGCTGGTTTTAAAGGGTCCCTTTGATGTCCACTGGACAGACGACAAGCACAATGGGAAAGTTTGTGCTGCTCTGCTGTCACTTTGACACCATGTTTTTAAAACTTTTTGTTGCCTTCCCCCCCCCCTTTTTTTTTTTAACCATCCCACTGAGGCATTCTGGGAGTCTGCGGGATCTCAGTGGGTCTGCCAACTACACTGTGGGACTGTGGGAGCCTGGCATATGGTCTTTGCACACTTCATCATAAATTTCTCAGAAGATTTGCTTAGCGTTAAATCATTTTTTTCTTTTTTTTAGTAAGATGCTCCTTTATTTGATTGGTTAAAGGATAATTAACAACACAACTATCCTCAAAAACAAAACAAAAAAACTAACTATGATTTAACAAAACCAGAAATGTTAATGAAGTAGGCCAAAGAAATATGCACTTTCTTTGTGCTTTTGTTTTGGGGTCTGAAATAAAACTTCAGCTACTTTATCTCAGAGAAGTAAATGATAAACCTATATCTTGAGAGCTGAACGTACAATATCCATAAGAGAATCATGTGAAATGTGGCAACATAAAGAAATTTAGCCTTTTTCTATTTATTTATGAAAAGTCCCAAGATGTTTGATTTCCATCTGCTGTCTGTGCCCTGAATCCCATTTACCTCACAAGGCAGACGCCATTAACAGACACCAGGAGAGCAACACATCCTGCACAGGTCTTTTAAAAGCCTTTGTGTGAACTCCAGGCAGACGCACACAGCTTTAACACTCTGCTGCCCCCCTCTACAGGAAACAAAGAACTGTGACAAAGCAAAAGCAGAAACCAAATGAGCTGCGTGAAAGGCACATGCACCTCCAACTGTATATTTTCAGAAATGTTACCATAAAATGTAAATAGTGGTGTGTTAGTCTGACTGAGGGTAATCTACATGCTTTCCCCTCATTTGCTGGTACACTGGGAATATGAGAGTAGGCCAACAAAATGGCCTACCTGGGCCTTACTGGAGTTGGGCTTAGCTGTGCGTTTGGCTGCGTATCAGTACATTTACATACCAGCTCAGAGGCAGCCACACACAGACAGTAGCACCCACATATAAACCGCTCTCAGACTTTTTGGAGGGGTTTACTGTTTGATGAGCGACTGAGGACAGATTCTCTGCCCGTCTGACTGCACGCATGTGTGTGTGTGTGTGTCTGCGTGCCTGCGTGTGCGTTTGCTGCCATCTCACACAAACTTGCTGTCAGACCACATTCCAGACGATCTGCAGCTTCTGCCACCACACACAAAGACTCCGACACCGAGAAAGCTCGGTGGCCGGTAGGTTGGAGTACACTGGATTTACCTCCAGGAACAAGCCTGAGCCTCCATTCACGTCTGGCTTCCTCTTTTCTCTCTGAGATATCATGCTGCCTCCTGCACTTCTCCCGTTTAATCATGCCTCTTTCGACAAGCGGTGATGTCACCCTGATCTGACACTATTCGCAACCCTCCTCCCTCGCTCCCTCCCTGCTTTATCATTCTTCCTCCCCTGCTCACTGTTGCCCATTTTACTGTAAGCCATGTGACAGACAGCTGCAGCTGCAAGTGCTTCGGCGGGCCTTCGCTTCAGCTGCGTGGCTTTGTAAAAATCCGACCCTCCCTCCCGCCTCCACTCCCATCAGTGCTCCAGGCCTCCTCCCACCCCCAGCAACAGGCTTAAAGTCAGGCCAAAAAAAGACACCGATCATTTGGAGGGGCCTGCCATTTTCCACAGTTTGTAAAGGTGAACTTGCTCCGGTCTGGTTTGGATCAGAAGCACAGCAGAACCATGCAGATTCAAAGGGGTCAGGAAAAAGAATGGAAAAACTAAAACTCAAGCTTAGAAAAAAAACATATACACACACACAGACACACACACACATTCTAACAGAGTACAGACAGTCATGGGTGCCTCATACAGCCTCAAATCACCTCTCTTTCAAACTGTCCACTGCCTACAGAAATATTCTAACCACAGGAGTGCATCATAATGAACTGGCAGAAGCAGGCAGATGACACACAGGGAGAGGTGAGTGTGCGACTCCCACAAAGTCCACTGATGAAAGTGATCTGAAGATGACCAAACATGACAGGAAGCGGCAGCTGTTTGCTTTACTACCAGGCAGCCAGCCGGCGTGCCTGCAAGGTGTGAAAGAAAATACAGAGCAGAGCTGATGGTCAGCACCGGCCCGGCTTAAATGGCTTTAACTTTCTTGTTTCAGGTTGAGTGAGAAGTGGGAATGTTCTGTGGTCACATGATAGGGAGCTAAAGCTCACGGCATACTGGAAAACCAAAAGGTCGCCCTACAGATGGTTCTTCAAGGTTGTCACAGTCGTACTCCTTTCTGTGTCTGTTCTGAGGAACAGTTGAAATGCTTTTTATAAGCTCGATTTTAATCTTTAGCTCATTTTTAAAAGCTTTGTACATAATGACCACTTTAGCAGCAGACGGAAATCAGCAGTGTTTAAAGTTAGAGGGATTTTGTGACGTGCGCTAACTTAGTGGAAGGCTAATTTTAAAATGGGAAAGAAATTGTGTCCCTCTGCCTCCCCCACAATTTGCATTTCCTTAAAAAATGTTTAAATGACCCAGTTAGCACTGTCGACATTTCCTTGGTCTGTGTAAAAATCCGGCTGCTGATGGGGCTGCTGAGCTCACGTCGGTGACAAGCACCAGCGTGCACACACCCTTCCCAAATACGGCAGTAAATCTCCAGTGAGATGCCAGCGCAGGCAGTCCCCACAGACACGATTTCACAACTGGGAGCGACCAAACTGAAACTGTATACGAAACAGCCTGCACCGCTCGCTGCGGACGGGACCAAAGGGCCGGCCCGTAAGCCTCGATGGCTGCTCAGCCGTTTGCTAATCACCAAAGACAGAGGTCCATATTGATGGCAACAGGGCTCAGAAAGGGGGGAGGAGTTTTGGTTAGGCTTTGTGAGGCTGAGCCACCATCATTGGCAACTTCAGCTATACAGCTGAGAGGCAGATATATCTGTACTTACAGGTACAGGGATACAATCCTGGAAGCAGCCTGTCCCAAATCTGGTATGGAAGTCAGCTCATTGTGGTCCAAGCGTCTGAAAGGGATAAAATGACAAGATGTAGGGCGTTACAGTAACAATTAAAAAGAAAGACATAGACAAAATGTTATTGATGTGAGGCAAGCGAAGATGTTGATGTATAAAAAACTCAAATAAACCTTATGCTTGTTGACCGTCTCAAATAATTGACGGGAATATTAATTTTTCCCTCACCACGTAAAGATGAAATCAATCCGAGCATAAATCAAAAGATTTCAAATACAAGTTGTCACGTCTGCCGCAGAGCAAGTGGCAAGTCATCCTTTTAAAAACCAGAAATAACATGGGAGTAAAACAGATGTCCAGGAGCGTATGACTGGTCGGCCACCTGCCAAAGATGTCACCGGTGTGTGTGCGTGTGTGTGTGTAGTACCAGTTAGCTCATGAGTGTGTGTGTGTGTGCGTGGGTCTTGTGAACTGGTGCTGAGTGACACGAAGCCAAGCCCTCTCCTCACCATATAAAAAATTTACAAGGCCGGCGTTGGCCACAGTATCAGGTGGTGGGAGGGGAGGCTTAATATAGAAAACCACCACTTAATTCTCAATTGGCCTTAGTTCAAGGCAACACATAGGAGGATGCTGCTAGGAAGTGGCAGTGGCAAGCATGGGTGACGTTACCCTGCATTAGCTCATTAATACCGGGCCTCACAATTTATTCTGCTGGAGTCAAATAAAAACGTAAGCATTTAAAGACCATTTGATTTTTTTTTAAAGGGGGAAAAAAAGAGGATATTATGTCGGTGTATAACGCTGGTGGCTACTTACAGCTCTCTTAGGTTGGGAAGGTTGGAAAAGGCTTCCACGCTGATGGATGTGAGTTTGTTGTGGCCAAGATTTCTGAAAAAGACAAGCAAATGCAAAGAAATGAGTCGTTAAGATATAAATATGATGTAAACAGGTTTTTTTTTTCCCCTCCGCTCTGCTGTTTGAATTAGGACCTTGATCAATAGCTACAATTACAGGCCGTTTCCTATTTGACGAACGGCCCCATCCATCCCTGTGCGCCTGCAAACACTGCAGCACATAAACTCAGTTAGCCTTCAAGTGGGGCTCAGATCAATACTATCGATACCGAGCGCCTGTCCTCCAGGCTCGCTTTCCAAACATAACCCACAGGCTATTCATCTGCACCAGTCAATTTGCACTCCGGGCTAACAGTGTGCTTAATAGCTGCCACTTGACTCGTACAGCAGCTTCTTAGAAAGTGATTTGTCCAGTGAAAAAGCGACACCACCGTCAGACAGCCAGAGGAAAGGTTGGGGGCCTGGTGGGTGCATCACACACACACACACACACACACACACAGACATCTGCATTTCAGATGGACTTTCCCACACTGTATGAATTCAGCTTCTTTCAAGCATTAGCAAGTGTCACCTCTGTCATACACACACACACACACGCACACACACACGCCTCATGCCTGGCTGGCAGGCAGCCTGCCTGTTGGCAGAGGGGCGGCCGCAGAGAGCCGTGTTTGTGTTTGCGTGCTGGGGTGAGGCCGGGCGACACAAAGGGAGCCCACAGCTCCCAGCCGCCCGCCTCCCGTCCCTCCATCCCTCCGTCCAGACGTGAGAGACCAGGAATGTTTCACAGGCCTGCCGAGAGACGGCCGCTCGCTACCAGAGACCCGGCGGGGGTGGGGACACTTTCACCTGATGCAAAGCACTCCTCATCCTCTCGTGTCATATTTAAGAGATGAAAACCACAAATAAAAAAAGCATTAAGTCACGGGGCCGAGAGCGGCGGCTTGGCAAAAGCCTCTGTGTGCGATGCCCCGCGCACGCCGCGCCTTTAAAAACCAATCCATCTCAATCCCAGACCGACTTGACATATTTCACTTTCTTGTTTTCGGCGCTCAATTGCAGATAATGACAGTCTCCTTCCCCAATCCTTTCTTCGGAGGTGTGTGTGTGTGACAGGATAATAGCAGAGCATGTGTCTGCCCTCCGGGCGCGGGCCGACAGGGAGGAGGTGTGCATTAGCGTCTGTGTCAGGACCATGGTGCACGGGGCACCTGCTTTGTGGCTGAGATTGTTAGATCATTGTCCCCTGCAACAGGAGGCAATCAGCAGGTTACGGCGAGGTTCACAAAACGGCCCTCCCCACAAACCGCCTCTGCCAGGAGGTACGCGTAATCAGCCAACGCGCACACTCACACACACACTCACACACACACTCACACAGCAGACAGGATGAACTTGGTGGAGCGATTCAGTCATCTGGAAAAGCAATCACGACGTTTTACTAACAGGCTTTTGGCTCGGAAACATTTGTACAACTCAGCTCTGCAACACAAGAAAATAAGGTTTGATCCAAACGCCGGGCCGTTCGGGGAGCCGTTAGCGCTTAGAGGTGGAGGAAACCTGCAGGTACAAAGCCGGCAAGAGGAAAGGAAAGTGGCGTCTGAGAGCCAAACTGGTTGTGCCGGTGCAAAAGGTCACGGCAACAAACAGAACCGGTCTTTTTGAGTGTCTGCGTTTCCCTGCGTGTCACCTGAGGTGTTTACACAACCGAGTCCTTCTCTCTCTCCACTTCATCCAGACAGATTTATTCCCTTACGTATCAGATCAGATAAGTCTCACAGCGTTTTAACGCCTACTGCGGGAGGAATGGTGATAAGCATGGCCGCTCCAACTCCCTCCTCACCCTTCCTCGGGAGGAGGAAGAGAGTTAATGCTTTCCAGAAAGTTGACCTTCCACTCGGGCCGTTTCTGGAAGAATTTGCTGTGACGGAATCAGAGGCGCTTTTGCCTGCCTCACAGGTGGAGGAGGGCACGTCTGAAAACGCCAAAAGAAACAAACACGCTTGGAAGACAGAGAGATAGGACTCCCAAAGTATCCTCTTAGTTGCTGACCTGGGTGTTTTTTTCATGCTCCATAATCTTCTGGAAGTTTATACCATTTCATTCAGCCCGCTTCAGAGATGCTCACAGTTTAGATACTGTGGCCAACACGTTGTGGCGATTACATTCTCCAAGGGCTCTGAATGCCACATTCCATCCATGTGGTATAAAGTGTTCATAATAGGCAGGATTGTTTAACAGAAGGATCCAAATCAAAACCGCTGAACCAAAAACAAAAAAGGAAAAAGAAAAAGAAAAGAAAAACATGAAAACCTCTGAGTGAGTCAAAGCTGCATGTCGAGCCAAATACACTCCCAGTTTTGTCGCAACTTCAAGTTGCTTCGGCCAGGTGGGCATTTTGTGCATTCTTGTGCGTTTCGTAGGAAACCACTGGCCTCGCTGTGCACAGAAGCCAGCATGACCTGCTTTCTGTCAGCAAAACTCAGGAGATACCAAACAGAGAGAGAGAGAGGATCGTCTGGGATAAAGAGGAAATGCAACAATCCCGTCTTCCAAACCCCTTTGGCCGGTTTTGCCTGATCCACCAAACACAGAAACAGGGAAATATTAGGAGGAAAGGCCTTCTTCACACACGCATAAATAAACTTTACTGTCAGAGATAAACGAGTTCAATTGTTTCGTTGTTAATTACATTGATCGTTTTCTTATAAAAGGCCATGCCCCCTTAAGGAAGTGCCTTTGGAAGAAATGTAGGGATCAGCCTCAGAACATCACATTGTGACATATAAAACATATAAAAGGCTTTAAAAAATAGCTGTGTTATGAGTGCTGTGGGAGCACCACGCTGATGTCATAGCATATGACAGTATGCTTGTAAGTCTGCGTGGGAGAGGGAGGAGAGGGGGAGCCGGGACTTAGATCCATCATCGTTATCTTTCCCATTTCTGCAGCAGATAAACGGAGTGTGAACTTTGCTCGCTGGAAGTGTGAAGTGCTGTCAGTGATGAGCCTTCGACAGTCGGGCTACGAGACAAAAGCCCCTTTAATGTGGTCCATTTCAGAGCACCATAAACCTAGTCAAAGAGTAACCTGCGCGTCGGAGAGCCAGACACACACAAACGCACTGCTCTTGCTGTCATTAAGGGGCCGGTTTATAGCCCGGCAACTGCAGCGAGAGTGTACACAAAGCTGACACCAGCTCCGGGCCACCAATTTACACATGAATCGAGCCGGGAGGGAGAAAAGGGGAGCTCTATCTTATCGGCTCTGGCAGGGTTAAAAGCATAAGCTAGCCGACAAGATATGCTATAACCGTGACAGATGTGGTTTTTGAAAATCTGAGTAGAAAGGGTTTCACCATTTGCAGAACAGATACCACCACCCCCCCCCCTCCCATTCTCAAAACACACACACACACACACACACAGAAACTCGCCCAGTTCAACAAAGAAGCAGCTCCATCCTTTGAAATCAGTCAGGCCAGAAGCAGCGACTGTTTTCTGAGGGCGGCCACATCTTGGGCCCACGTGCGGCACCGTTCGCCTCGCTGCTGATTTGGGAGAGGGAGCAAGGCTCTCCAAACAAACACGGCGCAAGGCTGGGAAAAGTGTGCACTAGCCCGAGGCAACCCGTGAACCCTTGGCCGGGCCGAGCAACGCCAGCTTGGACGCTCGAGAGGTCCAATAACACTCATGCTGTCCACACTGCATGCGTGTTTATGCAAAGCCAGCACATGTGCACATAGGACCGTGCTCCTGCATTAAACACCGCGTTCTGTTATGATGACAAAGTCATTCTTGCAAATGGCGCCAGACATTATGAGCAGAGGGAAATGAGTGTCCCCAATTAATCTGAAAGAATAACATAAACAGGCAACGTCTCTTTAGTGGGGCCATTGTTGTAGTACAAGACAGCTGAGCTTACACTTAACTTCAAAGAGAAGAAAAGGATTGTTTTGTCCGATTCTTTCCCCCACTGATGTTTATTTTACTTACAGAGCAATAATTACCCACAATGATGATAATCTAATGCGAAGCTGTCTAGACACTGAAGCTGTACTTCTCCGCACACCATCAGAAAGGTGCAGATGACTTGGATCCAAGTCTCCCCTCAAGCCTCCACGGTCTGTGTGTTTTCTGGGCAGAAGCTGATTCACTTGCGCAGTACCTCTCGCTCTGTCCAAGTCACGCTTTTTATCTTCCCCAGATTTCCAAACTCCTAACAGATGCCGAGAGTTCACAGATGATTCATGGACCAACTCTCTTTGTAGACACTGACTTCAGGAAAAGCGATGGAAAAAGAAAAGAAGAAGGAAAAAAAAAAAAAAGACTTGGCGCCTTACAATGTCTCCAGAAAAGTGCCATCGTTCGCGCCGACTGAATTCCTGCAGAATGACTTGCGGCAGCAGCTGTCTGATTGGCATTAGAGCCACGAGTGTGGCCATGAGATCACCCCACGTCTTCACGTTTTTTTGTCATTTTACCAGACTTTATCAGATCTGTTGTTATGAGACTAGAGGCTCCATCGGAGCCGTTTCTCCCCAATTTGCTCATGGCTATCAATGTCGTACAAATGATCACAGCCCATTACAAGAGGATGACCTATACTAATAACAAAAACAGTAACAAATCTGAAGAAAATAACTTCCTGCTATTTTTACCAGATAAGGGAGAAAAAAAAGTGAAGAGCAGCTGATAACAATCATTGCCAGTGATTGTAAAGCCTTACCAAACCCCTCGAGTGGGGACTTTAAAATATCTGCCAGAGGGCATGCGAGTCATGAGGCAAGCAAAACTATGACAATAAACAAACTTGGTATAATCACTCCCCAAACCACAAAATTACAAGGCTGTGGAGTGAGAAATGCCCTGGAAACCACAGGGGGCTCAGCGCCGCTGCTGTTGCTGCGTCTCTGGCCCGACCACGGAAAAGCTCCGCGTGTTTCCAGAGATGCGGCGTCTCGGCGGCCTGGCGTGCGTACCTGAGTCACCGGTTCTGTCGGGCCGGGGCTCAGCCGCAACGCGCTCAGCGACGGGGGCGTGGGACAAAGAGCAAGCTTTGCATATCTTTTGCTGGGTTTGGAGGAGTTAAAAAACAACCCAAAGGATAAAAGGTGCCGGCAGTGACATGCGACGCTCAGAATGTGTTGCTACGCGTCATTTCCTCTGGGTTTTGTGTGTGTGTGTGTGTGTGTGTGTGTGTGTGGGATGGCGGTTGAGGTTTCTGACCACTGACATAACTTTTACAAACTCAGTGGCCCCAGCCTGAAGGCAGCAGCAGGAGCAACAGACCGTGACATTAGCAAAACACTTCCATGCAGTGGGTAGAAAACGCCCCCTTTCATATCCCCCCCCCAGGCCAGGTTATCTGAAGCCACACCCCTCCCACCACCGCCACCGACCAGTCCCCAACGGCAGGCTGAGCTCCGCGTGCCTGTCGGGAAACCACCAACACAAACCCATTTCCTGAGGGGAGAAGCCAAAACCAGCTGTTGGGGGTGGCGATGGCCAACAGGACTATAACTGTGGGCTTTAAGTCGCAGCAGAGCGCTCGCTGCACGCCGAGCAGCGCGCTCAGGCACGGCCAGAAAAAACCCGGGCCGGGCCCGCTGCAAGCAGCCGGACCCCAAACGGGATGGTCCAGGCCAGCAAAGCCTACATGCAGGCAGAGGAAAACACAGACAGAGCCCATTAACAAAGCCCCAGTTTTGTAAAAAAAAAGCCAATAGGACTCTGTCTCAGATGAGAGTAGACGGAGACACGCTGGCAAACAGACACCCGCTATCTGCTTCATCTCTTTCCAAAACAAGTCATCATAGCAAAATTAGTAATGCTCATGCTTTTATTCACTTGAAAAAGCCCATTACACCGGTGGCACTGAGGGTAGAAATGCTTTTTATACACATTACTGCGGCCGCAAATAAGATAAAACGCCACTCCTGAGAGGGGAATATGTGACTGTGAGAGAGCAAACTTGCTTTACATGTTGTTAGGCTATTCATCAATCATAAAGAAACGACAAATACACGGGACTAATGGTCGCTTCGCCGAATGCTGGACACAGGGATGAAAAACAGCGGCAGATGTGTTTGATGAAGAATTTCGGAACAACTGAGGCTTTAAGGAAGCTGGAAGTCTATAATCTAAAGTGCTCACCTTAAAAAAAAAATTTAAAAAGCTGATGAAGACAGGGGGTGATGCAAATAATTGCCTAAACAATAAAAAGGGATCAATGTTATTGAAAAACACGAGTACTCCAAATAAAAAAGGCCCCACTGAAGCACTCCGGTGTTTATCTTGATTTAATTTAAAGGGTGAACAAGACATCTTTCCCAGCTCAGCAATGGGCGATAGAAAATGTTTGTTTCCTTGAATCCTCATCAGCCCCTCTCTCACAAAGGACCATTAATACCAGGGTCCTGAAAGACCATTATTTGGACAACTGGAAAGCATTGGTGCTTTTTTTTCTTTGGCCACTGAGAGCCGTGGCCTTATTTGTGTCTCAGAGGACTCAAAGACGGCAACTGATGGATGAACCATGGGCCGAAACTTGCCCTTTGGCCACCTATCTTCCCTGGACAAACAGTCACCAAAAACACTCCTCTGTTTGTGACAAATATACAGACTTTATATGGTCGGCGCGGCAGCCTTAATTAAGCAGCCCGGCAGCACCAACGCTCCATTTTACACTTTGCAACTGAGTACCCATTCAAGGTTTCCATGAGCACGAAGGACTGCCAAATCACACAAGACAACTATTTTATAACATTTAATTGGTTGGCACACGTGGCATTTTGACCCGGAGGGTGACAAACGGCCTCACAGTTGTGGCGCTGTAGCAGAAGTTCAAAATCCCCTGCACTTGTTTTCAGTGGAACGGCTCCACTCGCAGCCCTCCATCCGACATTAAATCATTTAAACAGGCAGCTTGTGGTTGTATATGCATACAAGTCTGACATTTCATATTTCCACTTTTGCCAAAGAGTGTGAAATGATGCCAATATCATCTGCCACCTGCAGCAAATAAAAAAGAAAAGCCGCTCCGTCTTTTAAGGCAGATTTCCACATCCGAGCCGCTCTATAATTGCGCGCCCTGAGGTTCAGTGCTGTAATCCAGGTTTAAGAGCCTGAGCAGATATAATTGCAACAGCTCCAGAACATGACAGCGCAATCAGTCTTCACCCACACATAAGGGTGGGAAATCCTCATTCATTTAGAGCTGGATTTATGCTCTCTGCCTTTACAGACGTAGAAAAAGAGCACGGAGGGCGTTCGTTTTAAGAGTTCCACAAAGACACATGTTTATGAATAATTCAGGGCCTTCTGGCTGATTAGTCACTGCAGTTACACATGCTGCACTCACTTATTCAACGGAGAAAAATGAAAGGTGTTTCTGAGGTTTTCCTAGAAGATTAACCTCTTGGAAGGAGAGGGGGGGGGACCTGGACTAGATGGCTCATACTTCCTAACTCTGCTGCTGCTTCCTCCCCAGGGTAAACAAAACAGACACAACTGATTCCACACCGATTCAGACACAGCGGCCACCAGGCCTAAAGGTGGAGATGGAGTAACGCAGTTTGTTTAAAACCAGTAACACAGCCACTGGACTGGACGACAGCCTTACAGGGTTACTGTTGCACTGAACCATGACTGCTTGTTCTAGCAGCTAAAAATCTGCAGAAACTCGGCAGCCTCCTGACCATCTGTCCAAGCCATACAGATACACACCCCGTCTGACACAGACACCAATAAAAGAACCAAAAGTCACCCAAGTGGACAGACTTGTATAGAGAACTTTAGAGTGAGACCACTGGGCTAAAAGTCAACATGGCCAAAGTCGTATCTTTTGGGTTTACAGCAATCCGACCCATTTACAGATCCCCCGGGGAATACCGCTGCTTCCCTTTGAGTTACCTGCCAACATAATGGGACTATCTCAAGTTGTGCGGAACTGTGGAATCCTAGGTGTTTTAAAAGATAACTCAGAGCCATAAAGCCATTCCCTTTGAAAACACATGAAGATTGCGGTGCTTAAATCTTGACCGATAAGGTCTGGATGAGATAAGAGGAGGAGGTTTGGAGCGGCGGCGGGAGCACACAGGATGCTCTTTTCCCCACAAACCAAAAAGTTTGGAGCAGCTGTTCGACCCGAGACACTTGTCCCACACTGTCCACGGGGACAGGAGGTGCAGTGTGTGTCCGAGTGCGCATGACAAACTGCATGTGCACTTGATCCCGGCTAAGTGGTGCTTCAGGGCAACAGGGCCCTGAAGCACCACAACGGCACAAGTGCCGTTATTCATGTTTCTATAAGTCTCTTTTAAAAGTTGCATTCCTGCCTTCACGGGAAAAGATAAACTGCCTCACACAGGAACCTGGGAGCCAGAGAAGCCCTTTGGTCTTTAACCTCAAGTTCTCAGCAACACACACACACACACACACGGATGATGGAAAAAAAAAAACAGTAACGAGATGCCTATTTGTTCACTGAGGATTAGCAATTACCACTGGACGTAGCGGCAGCAGCCGCCTGCTACGGGGAGAGCCAAAACGGTGATTGGGAAGATAAGAGTTGTGTTGTCTGTGAGTAAAGTGTGTCATTCAGCTTAATAAGTGCCGAAGTTCCCTAAACACTGGAGGATGTTTAATAAAAATGTCTCAAATTAGCTCATTTCCTAAATGAGCAAGCGGACAGGGCACCAACTGTTGTCAGTCTTAGCCTGGCTGGGAAACTGATTCATTTACGAGAAACTTAATTTGTGAATGATGGCTCACAGCACAGAAAGGGGAATGTGGATAATACCTGTCATCAATCTGACTGAATAATGCAGAGGTTTATTCGTTATAGCATGTTTGTCTACTCGCCCTGAGGGAGCAGTTTGTCTGTTCTATCTCTGGAAACATGAATACATGTTCGGAGAGCGTCATTAAGATTGGGCCATTTATGAATCTGAAACTGTGAAAGTGATGATGGCGACCCCAAAACCCTCTGAAAGTAAACAGACTTTCTGGATGAGCCCCTTTATAAAAAGTGGCCTGTTGCACAATGATTCTGATTAATACAAACAAATCAGTCTGCATTTATGAGGGGGGGGTTATACTCTAAAAGACAAACAAAAAAGTTTCAAAGGAGTAGTCTGAAATGTCCATTAGCATCAAATCACCTGAAGAGCTTTGACATAAATCATTCTGGTGGGAACTGAATAAGTTAACGAAAACCTTTTTGAAAACTACACAAAAGAATTGATAAACACTGGATTTGACCAACTGTGAAACTCTGAGCAGCTTTCATTTTGCCTCACTGCCCTGTGGGGACAGGTTATGGTCATATTTGTTCCGTAAACTCTATAAAACCCTCTTGACTGGGGAACCAGGTGATATCTGAGGCTGGCCTGAGCAAAAAGTGATGCTTTTCAGCGGTTAATTTAGTCTCCGACGCGGAGTGAGGAAAACTTTAGGTAACTTGCATTTATAAATCTGTGGATATGTATACATGAAATTACAGACAGCTATGTCAGATTTAAGTTTGTCTACTTACTTGAAAGTTATAGTCATGGGTTAGACGAAGGTTTAGCTAACGTGACATTAGCCCTATTTTAAAGTGGGCTCGAGACACAATCCCTAATAAGATTCCTGGGCACACAGCCTATCAACAGGGGTCCTTGGCTTGGTGTCTACCTACTTTTGTTTCGCTAAACTTTCTACCTTTATGTTGTTCTCCACGTTCCTTCTTCTCCAGAAACACTGTTGCCCGTTATGGACAGGTCAATAAATAGGCAAGGGCAACTGAGCGCTTTACTTACAAGGAAACGGTCCGGATTGGAAGGTCCAGAGGCGTAGCCGTCAGCTCCAGACTGCTACAGTCAACTGAATCTCCGTCGCAGGTACAGTTCTGGGGACACGGTGCTTCCGAGCCCAATCCACAACTGCCGAACAGTTCGACTGATAAAATTAAATAAAAGAAACACCGACACATATATCCAAATAGTCCCAGGGACGCCGCCATTTTGTATCCAGTTTTAATAGCGCGGCCGCTTAGGTCTGCTTGTGCCTACAAAGTGGAATATTAATGTAGCTTTGGAAAAGGTGGGAGCCTTTTGAAGCACATTAATTATCTACCTGTACCACAGAGGCTAGCATAGAAAGCGTCGTAGCCTTAAAATCATCTGCGTCCCAACAAGAGTCATGTTTGACACAAGTACCCACTTCAACTTTCTCCTTGGGACTCCGACGCGGGCTTAAAATCAAAGACGAGACAACATAACTAACGTACAAGTCCCGCCTGACTTAAAGTTAAGTCGCTATAGTTTGTCCATAAAAGGGAGAAAACTACTTTCTCAGCGAGGCCGCTGTTTTTGGCAACACGTTTGAAAACATCCAACGGCGAAGTGTATTAGGGGGACACTGCGCACGGATTGACTCCTGGAATCAAAGTTGATGTGCCCACCCGCGGCAGAACGGCTCTCAACTTCCAGAGACGACTCCCCAACTCCAGACTGTGTTGGAATTGTCCGACTCTAAGTGAATCTGTAGAAAATAAGTTAGGAGCCGCAGGTGTAAGCAGCGAAAAGTCCAGCGTTGATCTCTCCAGCCGTGCGCAGCGTATCGTCCAAACCTGAGCAGCACTTCACCAGATACATCCAACTTTGAGAGGCGGACTCGGCTCCATCCATATAAACTCAAGCAACAGCTTATCAGGTGCAGTCTGCGGTCACAAAATCTCGACGATCCGATTAATAGCAAAATAGACAGCCCCCCTCCTTCCGCCCGTGAATTACCACCATGAGTTTTCTCCTTTCCCGAGTTACTTTTCCTTTTTTTTTTCTCGGCGATCGGTCCGTAGTCCCACGTTGGAAACACAACAGCTATTCAAGGATCCTCCCATAGCCAGCTGTGATTGGCTGATAGCGTTTAAGAGGCTCACTCGATTGGCTGTTACGGGTTCTCCCCGCATTTCGGGGTTGAAGAGCCTTTGAGCGGCCGTCACTCAGCGGTGGCTGGGCCCGCCTATGTTTCCCACCCCGGGGTGTGAAACCGCACCACCTCCCCTCACTCTCACTGGCTCTTAAAGAGACAATCGCACAGATAAAGCTCTGTAAGCGCATTACAACAAGTCATAATAACATAATTGGTTGAATGCCTTAACAATTCTATTCAGTAAAGAAAGAGTCGGGGAGGAAGTCATAAAAATTGAGCTTTTAACATTTTTATGAGGGCCATTAGTACATCCTTTAAATTTCCATCAAATTATATGTTTATCATAGAAAAATGTTCTGATGTAAAAAGGAATTTGCAGAATGCAGTGTTGTAGGAATAATTTAACTCTGTAAGTCTCTGTGTTGTTTATGGTAAATAGCTGGAGCCTCTGATGTAAAATATGTGATGACAGATGTAAGATTATTTTCCTATATCAGACCTAATTGAAGAAGTATATATAGGAGTCCGGATCCAAACAAAAATACTAATACTGTTTAATCATTAATAAATTACCCAAAACCTAATCTCTCAGATTTTTAAATACACAGCACATAATTTACTATTTAATCGATTATATTAGGAAAAAACTGAAATTAAAAGTACTTTGAAATAGTACTTGAAATTGTAGTTTTTGTATAAGTCTATGCTCACATTTGCTGTGGAGAACACTGAAGTTTTTCTCATATTATTGCTGCACATGTAATACTTTTGGTATTTTTTTTAGAACAAAAATACATTTAGAATTAATAGTAATCAAGAAGACACTTGAAGTTCTCTTTTTCTTTTTGTTTTAGTCTCTGCAAAAACAAAACTTGTACTAACTAATTCTGGTTTACTTTTGCAGACATTTATTTTAAATGTGGTGTGTTCATTTTCCTTACTTTGAGCGTAAGAAAGAGTCTTACGGACTAAGCCTGAGTGATTTTGATGACATGCTTTTCTGTGTGTGTTTAAAATGGGGGACAGATCAGTCTTTCCAGCATACAGGCGTGCCCTGCAATGGCAACATAATAGCACACAATTCTTCCAAAATGCTGAAATCCTATTTGCCAGTCTTCTCAGAAATGCACATCTGTAATAAATCAGAGGCGCTGTCAGCCTCCTGGCCCCATGAACACTTTTTTCTCATAGAATTTTTTTTCTTGGCACTGACAGATCCTTTTGATTGATTGTTGTCAGAGCTATTGTGATCGCTTTGTGTTGAGTGGATGCCCAGATTTCATTGCTATTAATCACTATCACGGCAAGGACACAAATATTTGCACCTGCACCACTGCAGGCAGTTTGGTGGCACAGCTCCTTGTTCATCTCCAGTGAATAGGCAAAGGTTTCACATTGCATGGTGTGTGTGTGTTTGTGTGGCCGACAGGTGAGGCCTCCAGTCAGTTTATGGAGGAAAGGAACATATCTGAGAAATCAGACTTTGTTTGAGCGTGACAAAACTGAAGGTAGATAACCACTTTTTTTTAGTTTGTACTAAACCTGTTTTGATTTACGATTTAGCAACTGCTTACTATCAAACGTTTTTTGGAAAGTTAATCTTCCAAAAGCAATGAAAGCTGAATAAGTATGTAAAGCGGAAGTAAAAAATAGATTGACTCTTACGTAGATAATATGTTTTCTCCTTATAGCAACATGGTTTAGCACCAAAGTGGGACTGTCCCTTTTAGCCCTGAAGGAAAAATATAGCATCAGTCTACATGAGGCCATATTTAGAGGAGAGCTCTTCTACATTTAACTGTTTTTCCCCAATTCCATTCTTAAACCCAAACAATTACATTACCAAGGTGTATTCTTGTTCAGCTAATCTGACTGAACTTTCCTTTATTTTTCACTTCCTTATTTCTGATATGATATTTTGGTCCGTCTTTATTCTATACACTTCTTGGACAACTTTGGGAAGAGGTGTACCATCACAGCTATTCAAAGTATGCTTAACCCTACATTGTGGTGCTCCTTTTAAAAGACAGGGTATGTGGACATAGGTACTTTGGAGGTCTATTTAGAGAGGATTGTTGACATGTCTTTTAATATGATTTATTTGATGGATGACCTGCTGTGGATGACTTGACACACAAATAACTTTAACTAGAAGGGCACTCAGAGAGGACAGTCTTCTTCCAAGGCCAGTGCCCAAGGTTAGAATACTAATGGCAGCCAACCAGATCTGCAGAAAAGTTGAAAACCGAGTTTGAGCAAATTTGGCTTGGTAATCTCTGTGTCACCTGGTGCTCTAAGAAGCAGGGCGGGAAATGTTTCATCTCGCTTCTTAACTTTACAGTGGCAATGCAGCAAGCAAAGGTTAAGTTAAAAATGCCTTCCAGTGAAGTGTTAAAGTTTACACTTTTTGTGGGGTGTTTCCTCTTAAGGTGCGTCATTTTTCCCTAACTGACATCATTTCATCGCTGTAGGTGGGAATAGTTTCTATAGTCCAATATAAAGAAACTTTTTTTTTTTTTTTTTAAAGTGGTATCTTATTTATATTGTATGAAAAACTTTCAAGTTGTATCCCACAATGCTTTGCCATCCATATTTATTTTACTGCATGCTGCTGTGTGAGGTTGGGACTGATGAGGAGAGTGGACAGCAGTCTGTCATAAGAGTGCATTGTAAAAAGGGTAATGACTGCACCAGATGAGCATAAGCATCTAACTTTGTGGGGGGGGGTTTCAGTGTACTTTTATCACCATCTATATTAGTGTTTATTCAACCAGGGCGGAATGAAAGTGCCAGTGAAAGATTTAGTTAAAGAAAAGTGGAGGCAGTAGCTTATTTAAAGTACTCATGATGAGACAACTACATATTGTTCAAATTTCACTTTCTTAAGGTCTGGAAGGGTAGAGTGATGGTAGGGGGATGTTTAACGCCTGGAACAATTCATCACGCTCATCTTACTGGAATCTTCAAAGATAACAAACCATCTGCTGCAGCTATTCATCAACTATAAAACGGAGAGGCGTGAAGCCCGGCCAGCTCATCATACACAGACTGAATGGCTAACGGGTGTTGCAGGAGTGTGGAAATGCCTTGCTAATGGGAAGCAGAAACAGTTTGGGCATCTCTGATGGTATTCCAGGTTGTCTGGTTTGACACACAAAATGTGGCCTAAAAGGTAGAGGATGTGAGCGAGGAGAGGAGAGGTGGAGAAGCAATGGCTATAACAAATACATCCTGCAGAAAGATTCATTTGGAAGAGGTCCACATCTTTGAGTGCAACATTTTTAGCTCCATCTTTCCTTGTCCAATCATGACTCCATCCAGTTTGAAACTATGAATTTTCAACAGTACATGCACTGACTTGCACTGAAGGGAATTTAGATTTATTGGCTCAGAGTATGACCGATGGAATTATGTGGGAATAGACTACAGCACTGGTGTCAGGCCAAGCTGTGAATTAGACAGCGTTGGATTTATGCTGAACGCCTCGCTTTCCTCTGTATTTAGAAAAGATATACCTGCTGTCCCTTGAGATTCATCATCATGCTATCTTTCTTGCACACTGGCCTCCTCTGTTACTTTGATCTATGGAACATCTGCGGAGTCTTTTAAAATGTCAACCAAATGATCTCTTTTTGTAAGTAGAACTCGGAAAAATCCGATTTAGTCCAAATTCACACCGACCAGCTTTTCTTTTCCCCTTTTCTATTTTGAGTTAATGTCAAGTATATATTTTTGGTGACATCTGGATGAGTGAAGTTATTAAAAAAATACTTGTCAGTATATATTTTCATCCGTAGAACGTATTTTCAGCCAAACTCGCTACAGTTGGTTCCAGTTACTCTTATTCAAATAAAACCAGTAAAATTGTGTGAAGGCCACGCAGGTCTTTTTGTAAAGAAAGAAGGGATCAGCTAACAAGTTTAGTCATGAGCTACATGTTGTTTATTGAAGTTCAAGTCCTGATGTTGTGCAACAATTTGATGTAAGAGCCGTTAAAGTAGCCTTGCCAAAACGTGTTTTATCGTAACTATTCTGTCTAATTTATGTGGATTTTGCAGCAGATAGCCGAGCTAGACATTGGCAAAACGTCTCAACAATTTTAAAATGCATCTGGTATTTATGTAGGGAAATTAAACAGGATTCATTCCTCTACTTAGAATGACGACATAAATGATACTAAAGGGATTGAGGTGTGTAAAAACAAGTCTTAATAATATGGCTTTAACTGCTTTTTCTTTTTTCCTCTATTTTCTTTAACGCAAGCAGCTGATGTGCAGGTGTCTTAACACCAGGGCTCCGGCGATCCGCCTGCTTTTATATCAGTCTGAACTGAAACGGTGCTAACATGGACAGTCTTCATCAGTGTTTGTCAAATGAGCGCAGTGAGCCAGGCTGCCAAGTTCCTGTCAGTAGGTAAGTGAAACACGCAGCTCGTTGTCCCAACGGCGAGCACAGAGAGACAAACCATGCAACCTCCCCAACCTGTTCCATCACGAGGGAGGCGGGGCCTACAGGAGCTCGCCCCATGTGTTGTGCTTATGCCTCAAGACTCAGTGGGAAGGTATGCATTGTTGAATGTCGGCTTTCTAAAATAACTTTTCAACAGGAGTTTACCTCTGTCCACACCGCTGTCATCCTCACCCAGCTTAGACAGAGTTGAAGTCACAGTTTGCTGCTTTAGCACTTCTTTGACAGGCAGGGTGGGGAACGGTGACTCTGTTGTGTATTTGGCGGTAGTTGTTTTTAATAGGCCTCGTCAATAGAAAATTCATAATGGAGGCATCGGCCTGGAACAGTTTTTGTTCCATCCAAGGGGAGGAATGTCCTTGTTTCACTTTGAATGGTGATTTTTTTTTCTGTTGCAACGCTGCGGCGGCCAAGCAGCGTTTTGT